TTTGGCGGTGGTCGATTGCGCCTGCAAAGAGAGAGACAGAGCACGTTTATCGGTTCGGTTCGATGGTTCGTTCCAAACGAGCCGCGACTCACCGGCGCTGACGACTTCCTTCCAACGTTTACTCGTCCTCGCGAAGATAATAGTCCACCCAGTCGACCAGAATTCGATCTAGCCGGCGCAGGGGTCACCGGAGCTGCCGGCTCTTCCTCGTAATCGTATTCCTCTTCCGCTGATCTGACCACGGCTATCAGACAGCTGACCACCACCAATCTACAAAGCAAACACGTTGTAAATACAACAGTTGTTACTGGAACGTACTTGCCAGTGCAAAAATCTCGCCAATGATGAGAATTCTGTTACCGTACAGCGAAACAGCATAACTGAAACGATGATGATAGATTTTACGGATGGCCGTTGTTAACACTTTACCGACCGATAGCCGATTAATCGGTTTTTGTCGCCGACGCTTACTAACCGATAGCCTATTAATCGGCCTTTTGTCGCCGACGCTTACTAACCGATAACCTATTAATCGGCTTTTTGTCGCCGAGCAGTAATTTATTATTTCGTACTAAAGGTACCTTACTCAGTTGCGTCAGTTGCGTTGCTTTGTAAGCTCCCACAGTTTTATACCAATTTGAAAAACTTACCGTTCGCGATGAACGAAAAGAATGGTACTGGAGAGTCTAAACCGAAACAAAGCCAGCGCCTGGGCTGCCGGTCGGACGTGCGTATGCTGTTGAACCGCTAGGGGTCGGTAAAGTGTTAACGTGGATCTAAACTATTTTGCAATGTTGCCAATGTTTTCTATTCGCTCGTATCAGTGGATATTCTTTTGTTCAGTGTTGTCGCGTGTTGTACGGATACGATTGCCGAGTCGGCATTGGTCCATTGCATAGAACGACTGGTTCAACGTCGATACGTGTTTACAGATATTTTACAGGCGAATTGATTAGGTAGAGTTAAGAATTTGCCATTTGCCGAGCAAACGATTATATTTTAACGCCAGTTTGGCCTAGTTACCACGATAACCGTGCGCTGCAAGTGCAGCAGAATCTCGCCAAGTTGAAAAGCGAAGATGTTGAGTGATAGTGAAAGGAAGCGCGATGATCGTGCACACGGAGGATAGCTCAGAGCTAGGAAACGCTTTCGTTCCTGACGAACGCCAACGAACTGAATAATCGATCTCGCAGCTGCTCTCGTCCACTTCCTAGTCGGCGACGCTCTCTATCTTTTCGACCATCGAGGCTCGAACAGCTGCACGTAAACGTGCAAATTTCTTCTTACCAAACTATCGATATTTATGCAACCTTTTATTAGTCGAATATTTCAGCAAATTCTTATTGGAACACTGCGAACATTTGTAGAAATTCGTATGTATATATAAACGTTCTAACGTTTCGTACGAAACCGATCTAATAGGATGGTTCGATCGAACAAGAAAGAGAAGCTTGCTGAGCGTGTTTTAATAAAAGTTCTATCCCCGAAAGGAATCAGGTTGGTTCCGCGACGCGTTAACGCGTCCCTCGCAGGATATCGGACTCGTCGGTCGTACAACTTTCGCCAAGGATCGAAAATAGAATTCGAGGACGTTACTCGTCCTCCCGAAGGAGGGGAATCTGGTGTGTGCACGGGGATCGTAACGTACGATCGGTGGACAAAACCGGCGTGCGCCGGAGAGCACGATACTCGCATGCTTGTCGTTGTAGATCCGCGTATACACCAGCTGGATCGTGACCTGTGACATTCACGTACGAAACTCACTTTCTCTGGCTTGGCTCGTGCAACTCGCGCTACTCCCAGCATTTGTCGCCCCGTTTCGAGTACGAATCACGCGAGTACGTGAGACGGCTGACAAATGTCACGGGAACTAGCCGAAACCCGTGGCCCGCCTCTACCTCTAAAATAACATTCATCGAAAAATCGGTGAAACTCGATCGCCTCTACATACATATGTATACAGGGTCCGACCGAATAACGAACAGCACGTAGGAATCGGGCACGAGGTGATTCCTTATGAAACAGAAGAAAATACGCCTCCGTAAACCTTCTTGGAAAACTTAGGCCAAGTTGGCTGAAGAATATAAAACAATGGCTTTTCGTAACACGATTTCAAAGTAGCCGAGAAATTTCAACTTTTCTCGCATCAACAGAGTAAAACGTGATTCCACGGTCAAAGGATTAGGTGTTTCGTGCTTTCTCGTGTCGGGCCTTATCCTGACGCAATTCTATTGCTCGCTTCAGCAACCGTGATCGCGGTTGTGACATAACGTTACGGTTGTTCGTTTTCGTGGTTACTTGGAGAAAAATATGAAAGAACGGTGTTAGTGCACGTTCTTTCGTCACGTACGGCGAGAAATTACACGCAATCAAAATTTCGATGGCTTTCAAAAACCGTTGCGTAAGGTGACTCGTCTTTTAACTGGTCTTGCCAATGTAGCGATAGACGATGCACGTAGATAATGTCAAGGGAAAGCAACGGTGGTAACTGAGAATCGAGAATAACTGCGCGAGACACGTTGCGCGATCTTTGCAATTCTGATTCGTTGATCGTGATTATAATATTGTAAGAGAAATTTTGGTTTTTCCGTTCCTTTTTTGGAGTCCCTTATGCCGAGGATTCGAACTCGCGACGCGTCGTTTCCAGTTCTGGGCTTTAACGAGCGTAGCTGGCTGCCTCGCCACGTTGATCGATTATTATTATTATTACTACGTTTTAGATGGCCGTGTTTTCTAATTGATTTCCTGGTTGAGAACAGGATCGAACGGTCTATCAGCGTTTGCATAACGCATTTCTCTATTCTTTTATTTATTACTCGCTCGCTCTGTTTGCACTCGCGTGGCGATGGAAATTCGCTCGAGCCTGATTTCAATGATCACTTGCGACAGATACCGAATACCAGGGGGCTTGAAACGTGTAGCTCGTTTAACTACACCTTTCGAAGGCCTTGATTCAAAGTGGAAGTCGAAAGGATCACCGATTCAATCACTGTCTATCGTAAATACCCGTAATCCGTAAATGTCGCTGTATCCAAACATTTGCAACGTCTTGCGCAAATTTCAAGCCAAGCCACTACTCGGAAAAAAGGACGTGGCACGACGATCGAAGGAAAATATACAATTTTTGAAAGATCACTGCTCGAGAGAACAGGAAATTTGAGAAAATACTCGTATTATTCTACGTGGAATCGTAGCACTGGTCACGGGGAAAGTGCAAAGATTCGCGCGAGCAAAGTAAAAGGCAAGAGTGAGCTATTCGCGTTATATTGGATCGCGGATGGAATACTTACGCGAAAATCGCGAACTTCATGGTAGTGGTTGGTAGGTCGACGAAATGATGATGAACGAACGAAAAGCTGGTTCCGGAAGCTGCCCTGCTGCAACGCGTGCAACGTGGAAACGTGGATCGGACTGTTACCACGGGCGCGAAGCCGCGAAGAATGAATATCGTGTAGAGGGAACCGAAAGCACACCACTGCAATCGCGGAGGCTGTATACTTTGGAGTGCCGAGTCTAGTTTCCCCTTCTCTCTATATATATATGACTCTCTCACTCTCACTCTGGCACCAACCACCCGTGGCCGAACCCATCCACATCCACCTATCGTGCATGCGACTTTGGTATATCCTGAGCCAGCGAAACACGCGATATCCACGCGATATCCACGCCATTGCCCACGCGCTCGTCCAATTTCGGTTAGAATCTTCCTTCGAGTTACACGAGCTTCTCCTTCGACCCTTCCTCGCCGATAAATACGACATTTTTCAAAAATTCGATACTTTACGCGAGCAGAGTCTCGTAGAAGAATCGAACTTTCACGCTTTCAAAGCGTGAACTTGGAACGTTGATCGAGTAACGTCTCGCTGGAAAATTGCTTTTCCAGGGCTAGTGAATCACAGTTTGGTAACACGAAGCCGACTGAGCGAACGATTGAGCGTCGATCGAATCGATCGTTCCCCGAAACGAACGAATCGGTCCGCTTAGGACGTGTTTTATAGTTAGATCGAGCGTAAGCAGTGAAAGTGAACGACACGGACCTCGTACCTGTTCGTAGGCAAGAATGCCAGATATCCTGCTATCGTCCCCTGAGTCCTGACTTTGTTTTCCTTTTACGATTATCAGCTTATTATTGCTCGTCGAAGAAACTTCTACTATTTACTATTACTTGCAATGGTTTGTCATGACGCTTGCCTCCATTGTGTACGTTCTTTCATTGTCGTAACGCGTTTCAAGTACATATCGTTCTGAACGAAATTGAGAGAAACGTTGGGTAACAAAGGCGAAGGATTGGAAAGACGGCGTGCTATTTTTAACTTGATTCCACATTATCCTTTGTGTGGAATCGACGGAAATTCATTCGAGAATATGGTGAGAGGTCGTAAATTTCCAAGAGGCTAAAGAAAGCCTCCATGGTCTTGTTGGCTAGACACAACGATTATCCTTGAAATTCCATCGTGTCGTCCGTAGAGGATAAAGTTATCTGACAGAGAAATTATTAACGGTAGGAAGCTCACGTTGTTTAGTTCGCTTGTTATTGCAAAACATATAAAGAACACGATTTTTTCGTTTGACTTTTAGAGTTTCTTTCGATTTTGCACGTGACTGGAAATTTACTAACCTCTTAACCGTCCTGTCCATGCGATATACGTTAGTATTACGCATATTATAGTTAGTTCTACATATTATAGTCGCTATAGTTCTATCCTGTTACAATGCCAACGAAATTTCAAAATGTTTCCTATAACGCAAATAATATGCTCATAAAAATGTCGATTATTTTCGCGAGTCACTGTATCTATAACCTAATAATTCTAGAAGGAACAATCGGCATCTACGAAAGGTAGTACCGTGTCGGCCTTCCTTCGATTTGGCTCGTGAATCGCTTTGTTTACCGATAAAATCAATTCCAGACAGGTCGCTGTTCGAACTCCTCTCGGCGTCGTCGCGGTTGGAAAGATATTCAGGATCTTCCGTGTGTAAATGTCAAGAGGTGTATTGCGGCAAGTACAATTGCGCGTTCCACATTTCAGCTGGCATTCGATAGTATGTATGCGAGTATGTACGTCGAGCTACCGTAATCCTCTTAATTCTTACAATTAGCATACCAAGGTGAAACGATCCACGTTCTTTATCAAGCCAGATTCTTAATTTTTTAATACTTTCACGACGTATCGCGACGGGGCAACTATCGCGCTATTACGTGTCGCTATATTTTTTTTGCTTTCGCGGTTACGCGATTTTTTGTGTAAAGGCTTCTCATCGTTTCGCAGAATTCTGTCGCATCTTTCTTTAATTTAATATTTTTTCAATATTTTGGTACAGCTGAATCCTATTCGTTCCGTAAACAAAATCGAAGCGATACGAAAAAGCGTTCCACGTCCTCTCCTAGAAATCGGTCGGCTGTG